ACTTAAAACAAATATGTTTAGTTTTCATTTATAAGTAACATACATTACAAAATAATATAAACAAATTTAAAGTATGACATTTATAATAAAAATAATTTTATTTAAAAATATAAGGATTAATCTCCCTCATCTTTTAACTCCTTTTATTTTCTCACTATATAGTCTTATCAATTAACATATGATTGCTGGGGCGCGTAAACAAAATTTAATTAAGTTGACTCCATATAATTTCTTACCAAACAAAAATGATCCATTTCAAACAAATTGATTGGCATTTTTCTTGGACAACTTTTTGACAACGAATTTGCATTTAAGTAATGTTTGTCTTAGGATAACTATACAAACATAATTTGATTTATCACTTCATAAATGTTACCCAATTATAAGATATCAACCTAATTAATTCCACATATATTTGACTTACATCATCGAATTTTAATTTAGATATATGCTCATTAGACATGCTCACTTTTAAGAAATAAATAAAATAGAACAGTTTAATTACAAAACATGGCAATGGTTATTTTATAAATCATGTCATCATTTTATTTTTATTATATCCTGACAAAGAAAAAATAAAAATAGCCCGTCATTGGAAAAGTGCGCGGGCAAATGGCCAATGCGTAATGAGTTATTATCCGCTGTGTGCACGTGCACCCGACTTCACATCATTGCCATCTCACCTATTCTTTGCCTTAAATTGCACACACAACATTTTCCAACTCCCAGTTTGACCCCATCTCTCATTGGTGAATTCACTGCCTTTCACATTTATTTTTTATCTTCTACTATCATTTTATTTATTTTTTTTTTTTTTGTAGCCGATATCCGGAGCTATGTCCCGACTAATCTGTTGGTCGACTCGGGTCGCACACCTGGCAGTGGTGGGTCAGTCTCCCAACAAGAATTTTATGCATCTACAAGGACTCTAATCCAAGACCTTACTTAAGCGACATCAAGCTACTTACCACTTGAGTCAACTCCTGTTTGTTCTATCATTTTATTTTATCGTTTTAGTATTTTATATGAGGGCCCTCTGTCAATAATTGTATCATCTTTGTCATGTACAAGTTTTTCCAATGGCACCGCACCCCCAAGTTCATCTTGTAAGAATATTGGTTTGGCATCGTTCGACAAACCTAATTGTTTCCTAGATGATTTTCTTGTTAAACAAACAAAATAAATTAAAGAGAAGTTTTCTATTTATTTACTTGTTAATTAATTAAGTTTCTATTATTTATTATTAATAATATATGTTATATATTTATTATAATTTGTATTATGGAGTTCTAAACCTTTAGGAGAAGGATTACATAATATATATCTTATATATTCACTTACCATAATTGTCACATGCATTAATGAGCTTTATTCTATACCATAATTAGTTTTCTCTTTCTATTAGGACAAAGAATGGGTGGCAAGGACTATGAAAGGATGAGCAATTCGTGCATAAGAAGTTCTGGATGTTCATGAGAAGATCTAAGGAGGATTTGGAAAGATTCACCACAAGATCTTTGAAGATTTGGAAGATCGGCTATTTTAGGAAAGTCATGTTCTTACAAGAGTTTGAAAACACGAGATTTCCATTGGAAACTCAATCATGGAGATCTCCAAATCACATACACGAATTCTACATCAAGGAAACTTACTATACATGAAGGATTTCGTTCAAGATCTGAAAGGAATCAATTGGGAAGGAATTTGACTCCTAAAAGGAAAAAGAATAACTTGGAGAAGACTCCATGCCTAAAGAGTTGTATATATACCCTATTTGAAGATCGAATCAAGACTGCTGAGATCATTATTATTCACATACTATTCGAGCTTCAAGTCTTCTTTTATTTTAGTTCTCGGTTCAGTTTCCGGTGTTCTTACATATCGAAGAACTGAAATCGTTTTGTTTTCTTTTCTTTGTTTTTCAAACATTATTGTGATCAGCACTTAGGGATTAACTGTTAGTTAAAGTCCACGGGACGTGGCCGGAGAAGTAGTTGGTAGATTCGAGTATAGTTGTTGGTTAGACTAGAAGGGAGTTCTAGGTGTTGTAATTCCAAAACTATACGCATGTGCACAATCGAGTTATCAATGAAAGAGCTCTGAGGGGAAGTGGGACGCTTCCCTGAGGAGTTTTTAAATCTTCGGTTTATTGCTTCCGCTATTCTAGTTGTTTATTTGTGTTCTAACAACGTTGAGCGCACTCTCGCAAAATACCTACGTTTCACATCTAATTTACCTTTTTTTTTTCTTGGTTTAATTCAATTAACTAGTTCAAACCGTTCAGGTTTAATGTATACTAAATAAACTACATATGTCTAAAAGTTAAGGTTTAATGTATAATAATTCTCAAATGGACTTTTGGATGCAATAGTCCATTTAGATAAATATTTGTGTTCGACGCTAAATTAAGATAGACTTATGAATAAGTTGTTTCTCCAAAAAATTCATTCTGTATAAGTATAGGAAGAAAACTTTTGAAAAAATTCATTTCAAATTGAATAAATCCATTTTCAAATGGACTTTCCGAAAGAGCTCCCAAACAAGTACTAAGAGTGTGCTTGATAAGCAAGATAAGCTAGCTCATATCTTATTTGATTAGCTTATATATAGGATTTTTATATACAATTGAGTTTGGTTTAGTAAGATTAGCTTATCTCATAAGCTTATTTGAGTAGTTTTTCAGATAAAGTCGTTGAAACTTTTATTTCAATTAGTTTATCAGTTAATTTTGCAAAACCATTTTATTATATCAACTAGTTTTTCAGTCATAAACCATAAATTATCAGCTATAAACTCTAAATTCACTTATAAGTTATCAATTAAATTATCATCTAATCAACTAGCTTNAAAAAAAAAAAAAAAAAAAACTTTTATTAACTAGTTTTACTAAACATAGTCCTTTTAGTCTTTTGTTATGTCTAAAACTATAAAATATACCCAATAACTTTGGCAAATGTTCAAATCACATTCGAAAATTTCCAAATAACTTTACCAATTGAAGAATATGTTCATTAACTAATTAAATCCCGAATATTCTTCTCGAGTTGTGTACTTTTTGCCATTAGTTAGGAGATATTTTCTTCATTTATTGGTATACATTATGCTCATTTTTATTGATTATTGAGCATTTGTGCAATCAAACTTGACAACCGTCCAAAATTACTCAGCGTATTTTATAGTTTTTATGAATTAGAACTTGAAACTTATCGGTTTCCCTGTGGAACTATCATGATTCCTTAGTCATCAACTATTATTAACAATCAGTGTATTAACATGTGTCCTAAGTACATCATTTCATAAATCTTGAACGACAAGATTTAAACTTCAAAATATATTTTGCAACGAAATTAAACGAATTGAGTCCTAATGAAGACAATAAGCTTCCTCCTGATTCCCTAATTAAACTTGTCACTACAGTCCTAAATCTTAAAGGCCAAGATAACTTCATCTATAAAAAGAGGAATTAAGTTATAATTTTAATATATAATTACATTCAAAATTATGAAAGCAATTGAGGGGATTCGTTTAAACCTGAGTTGAAGTTTAATATGGAGATTATATAGGTTGCATGTGGATTGAGGACGAGGGTTGTGAACAAGGGAACTTTCTTCCTATTTTACCTACAAGAAGTTGATGATAGTTGATAGGCTCTCTTCAATTAATTAAAATCTCCATCTATAATCCACTTATAAGTTTGGAGTAATAATTCTAGCTTAAGTTAGCCTGCCTAGTTGAATTAGATGGGTGGGGAAAAAATAAAATATAATAATATGGAAAATTTGTTAATTAAATTTTGCTATTTTTTAAAAATATTTCCTAAATAATGAAAATTGAGTAGTGATATATTCAAGAGTACAAATATTAAATAGATATACGAACAGAGATGATCACGGCACAACCTGACCTTAAATAGTTATACTTTATACACAAAAATGCAACACGATATTACGATTTTCCAAATGCAAAATGAATATTAAAAAGTATGACTACAAAGACAAACAACGAGTTGATCACGATACGACCTGACCTTAAATAATTACAATGCACAAACAAAAGCGACACGATGTTACGAATTTCCAAATGCCACACGAATATTAAAAAGTATGATACAAAGACAAACAACGAGATAAGCAAGACCCGACTCGACCAGACCTTAATTAAATAGTTATATTACGATTTTTAAAATGCAACACAAATATTAAAATGTACGATTACAAAGACAAACAACGAGATGATGATCGCGACACGACCAGCCTTAAATAGTTATATTGCGCAAACAAACGCCACACAATATTACGATCTTCCAGATGCGAGACAAATATTAAAAAAGTACGATTACAAAGAAAAACGACGAGATGAGCACTACCCACCAAACCTGAAATAGTAATACTACATAAACAAACGCGACACGATATCACGATTCTCCAGATACAACACGGATATTAAAAAGTATGATTACAAAGACAAACAACAAGATGAGCACGATCCAACCCGACTTAAAATAGTTATAATGCACAAACAAACACGAAACGATATTACGATCTGAAAAAAGATTAGAAATTTAAGTGGACCCCACTCCCACCGCCCATGCGACTGGTGTCTCCAACTCCAAGTACCAAACCACTCACTTATCTCTCTCCCCCTTTCTCTCTCATCATCATCGATCCCAATCTCATTGACCTAACCCTAACTCGAACAATACTTGGCCCCAATAACAATGCCCCAAAACCATAACAAAACTCTCTCTCTCTCACAAGCTCAAATTAACTTATAAACCAACAAACTAAATCACACACCAAGAAAAAAAAAATATATAGAGACTTTGTCACAAGAAAACAATAACAATATGGTGATGTGAAAATAGTAGAATCAAGTCATCTCAAAGAGGATCCTCTTCTCTTCTTCTCCAAGAACCCTAAATTTTTACACTACCTTTCTTCCTCAAATTTCCTTACCAAATTTTTTTTTTTTTCTAGCTAATAGAAGAAAAGTTAAAAATCATGGATCACCTAGCTCATGGCCGCCCTCTGCCACCGCCGTTTTTAGGCGGTGGTGGTGGCAGAGATCTCCATCTCCACCACCACTTCCAACCACCAAAACCCGACAATAAAGACGAAGACCAATTCAATAGCAACAACGACGGCGGAGGCCTTCCGACCCTGAACTCCGGCGACCAGGCGGCGGATACCGCCGGCCGCCGGCCACGCGGCCGGCCGGCGGGATCTAAAAACAAGCCGAAGCCACCGATCATCATCACCCGAGACAGCGCCAACGCCCTCCGATCCCACGTTATGGAGGTCGCCGCCGGATTTGACATCCTCGACAGCATCTCCGCCTTCGCCGCCCGCCGCCAGCGAGGCGTCTGTGTCCTCAGCGCCACCGGCGCCGTCGCCGGAGCAGCAATCCGGCAGCCTTCGGCCGCCGGGGGAGCCGTTCTCAGCCTTCACGGCAGGTTCGAGATACTATCTCTCTCGGGGTCGTTTCTGCCGCCGCCGGCTCCGCCGGCGGCGTCGTCCCTGACGGCGTACCTCGCCGGAGGACAGGGGCAGGTCGTGGGTGGGGCGGTGGCGGGGCCGCTGGTGGCGTCGGGGCCGGTGGTGGTGATGGCGGCGTCGTTCGGGAACGCGGCATACGAGAGGCTGCCGCTGGATGAGGAGGACGGGCCTCCGCCGGAGGCGGCGGCAAGGATGGGGGAGATGCCGGGGATGATTGGCGATGACTGCGGGCAGCTGCCGGCGGAAGCTTACTGGGGAACAAATCGGCCTCCTTTTTGAAAGAGTTAAAAGTTGAGAGAGAAAAAGTAAAAGGAATTTGGATGGTTATGGTGGTGATTATGACTTGATTTTTCAGTAGTTTGTGGCAAATTAAGTTGCTTTTTGCATTAATCTTTTTAATCATTTTTAGTGTTTTCCTGTTACTTTGATTTATGGGTTTTTGGAGTTCATGGCGTTTTTTTTTATGACAGGGAAAATGAAAATTTGTAGCCAATTTTTTTCCTTTTACAACCTCTTATATTTTTGTTTGCAATTTCTTGTGCATTTTGACCGTACATATGTGTGGTTTTGAGTATGATTATCTGGTATAAAATATTTGAATTTGATGAACTTTTATAATTTGTAACCTCTCATGCATCTTGAAGGTACAAGTGTGTGGTTTTGTAGATTGTAGATGTATCAACTCTCATGAAAATTCATAATTTCTAATTAAACTCTATCTTTAATATATATGTGTGTGGTTTTGTTGATGATTGTATTTGAATGGTGAATATATATGTGCTAAAGGTTTTGTAAATTATGAATTAATTTTTATATAGTTCAAATTGCATTTTACGAAGAAAAATACTTCGCAAATGTCAAAAACCTGCAAGCTTTTATATTTAATTATTTCTCTCTTAGGAAAATATCATTTATCTGTTTAAATTTCTGCTTTCTGCACTGCATTTTACAGAAAGGGTTGGAGAGTGGAACACTGGAACTCAAGAGAAGAACAATGTGTATCATGATTCATGATCAAGTCAATTCAATTTTAATCACTTTATAATTCGTACATTTGCTTTTCTTTCTCCTGCTATATATATTCTTCTATTTAATTCACACAATTTTCTTGTTGCAGTTCTGATAACCTGCCTGACAATCGTATAGATTCATCACTTCCTGCTGAAGAAATGGGAAATTATTTAGGTGCCTTTTTGTTGGTAGTTTTGTCTATTTTTTTCTTGCCTTCTTTTCTTCTTTAATTTTATATTGCATATATTTATGATATTATCCCATGACCTCTGCAATCTCATAAAACTAAATTCATTCAAACTTTTGTCTTATCCACTATTTAGTACCTTCTGAGCCTATATATAGAGAGAGAGCTATTACCATATTTACATTAAATAATCCATTTTTCAAATTCATTTGTATAGTTTAATATAGTACTGTTCAACATCTATATATCTCTTTTATTTTTATTTGAAAAGCCCCATATTGCAAAGACAGTAAAAGAACGAACAATTTGGCGGATATACTCTTTCCACAAAGGAAATATGCCCGTTTTGTATTAAAATATATCATACTTTATAAAATACATTTGCAGTACTTATATGCGATTATAAGCGTATAACAGGACAATTCAGTTAGGTTATACAAGAAATAAAAAAATAAGAATAAAATAAGAAAAGGAAAAAAAAAAAAAGTTTCAGTTACAAGATTTTCAGTGCATGCAATTGGGGTAAATGAGACACAGAGGTATGGGCCTAACATTGATGCGTTGATTTCTTGTCTTTGACCGTAATTTTGATAGTATTATATATTTATATTATATAATATAGTAATATTGGATGAGGTTTATATATTGGGTTTCTCGTGCACTGCTGGTGCTGGATATAAATTTGGTGCCTTTGTCGATTATATCTTCAGACAAACGCCATGTCTTGGCACATTTGTAGATAAAGCTTCACACGCTTGAAAGAAAGCTTCCCTCTTGGCTCTTACTGTAGTTAGTTTTTAATTAATTATAAGATTTATTAGATCATATCTTTATTATGCTTGAATTATAGCGAGTTCGGCTATTTTTTACAGTAATTGCGTACCTTTATTGATAATTTTTCTATGGTGAGCTAGAAATTTAAATAAGATAATAATTTATTCGATAGCTTTTGTTATTGCAAAAAGTTTTCTCTAATTAGTTAAACTGCGTTCTGCCCAATAACGTGAGCTAGTTATTTTTTTAAAAAAATAATTAATTGGTATATTCTACATATTTGTGCAATTCTGTTCAATATTTACTAGTTATATTGGGCAAATTTATTACTAGGCATATTTTGCAATTTTGTGTCAAACTAATTTGTACCTGACATGTCGTATGTCCTTTCTTTTTATCATATCCTTATTTTTTCCTGCCCAATAACCCCTGCATTTGCATAGTTCGCCATGAACTATATCGTGACTAAAGCGCATCTGTGTACCATGTTAGTAGAATTTGTATAAGTTCAAATATTTTCTAAACATGATTTAAGTTACTACGCAAGCGCGCGCACACGCAAACAAGTAACTTTCATTACTTACGTCTTAATTCTCATTTATATACAACTAAACAAATACAAACAAGATAACAATGAAAGACACCGACTTTAGTACACAAAAATAACGATTACACAAGAAGAGCCCAAAACTTACCTGCAACAAGGATATGTATATTTTTCTGTTTGCCTCTCGTGAAAATCGACACTCTCAAGGCATTTTGAAAGAAGCTTTTTGCCGGTCAACAGCCACATGGAATACATAAGAGGAGAAAAAAAGGAGTTTGTATTTAAATATCTATCCTCAATCTTCGCATTTCAGATTGGAATGTGGAGCTCGAGTTCAGAGTTCGACGAGCAAGAGCTCTTATGTCCTCTCTGGAGCAATCACGCGAAATACGAACTAACTCCCAAAGGGCGCCTCCATTTATCATATCTTTGGCATTGACCTCTGTGGCATTTTTTTTTAATTTTTAACAAATTATTGATAAATCTGGAAAATCGAAAGTTTAAGAATATAGCCCTATTGTGGTGCGATTTGTATAACGAGAAAAAAGAAAGTCGATGTACGGATTTAGATGAAATATAGGATTGAATTAGCACATTATCCCGAGTTGAATCAGAGTATATTATTACCATGCTGTGCCAGGTGGCAGAGTGCAAGCTCAACGTGACGTCTGATTAGTGAAGCTTCATTGTTGGCATTTTGTACTATCCATGGCAAAGCTCCATCTTCTATCAGGAGTGATCGACCTTCTCTTAGTCCTGCCATTTAAGTGCATTATTACTTTATTAGACGGACAAATGCAAGTAAATGATTAGTGAAGCATGTTTTTAAATGAACAGCTTACCTTGACTGGATGCACGAGACTCGCACTTAGCGAAATTCGCAATACCACGGGCTATTTGGGAAATAACATCCGGATGTCTACATCTGACCATTCCTAATAGAGCTTTGATGCCACCTTCTGACCTTAGCCTTGTTTGTAGTTTATCTGGAAAGAGCCATGGGTCTTTAATCAAATATTTCGGAAAGGCACTCGAATTTCATTAAAATCTAAAAGACTAAAATTTCATTTGAATTCCAATTGAAATGAACACATTAAAAATGAGAATAATAAAAATACCATTGCCGCATAAATTAGCAATTGCTCCAGCAACCATTCTTAGAGTCTGAGGGTCTTCAGCATCGGTAGCTGTTGTTGCTAAAAGACATATTCCACCTTGGGCCATTATGATCTCTTGATTGGCCTCTGCAAAAAAGATATAATAACATAACAAGCAGTTTATAGCAAGAGTGAGACAAAATAAAATAAGTGAACTAGTATTAGAAGGTACCGTTCATTGCAAGATTAGCAATTGCACCGGCTGCAATTCTGCGTATCGTTTCATCCTCATAAGTTCTAAGGAGCATCAACAATGAAGAGAGACCACCAGCCTCGACTATCTTTTCCTGGTTCGCTTCTATAGATATACATAATAAGCATCTAAGTTGTGAACAACAGTAGAAAACAACATGGATATTTCTTCTAGAAGAACCAAGATAGACAGAAAATAAAAGGAAAAAAAAAAAGCAATATTTTTCTGCATTTTAATGGCTACAACCANAAAAAAAAAAAAAAAAAAAAAACCTCAGAAAGGATATCAAGTTTGAGAGTACATAGTTTGTGTTAAAACTTAAAAGTAAGAAAAGTAGGACACCTTCTGCAGCTAAGTTGGCCACCACTTTGACAGCATGAATCCTTACGTTGGCATCCTCTGAATCGAGCAATGATAGTATCTTTTGCAATCCAACTGTAAAAATAGATAGGTAGATAGATACAACATCTTGAGGAGAATATTAAAAATGGTAATTCAGTGGACACAAATCAAAACCTTGTTCATGAAGCTTTGTAATAGATGCCCTTTCTCCATTGTTACCATCTCTAGACCGCAGATGATTAAGTGGGGTTAAGCAATCTATACCAAGAAGTGGGTTCCCAGAGTTGCCTCTTCCATGCTTGCTTTTATTCTATGAACATAATATCAATATAAGCTAAAGTAAATATCATTTTCATGTTTCATGCCTGACCAATCTGAGCATCTGATAATGTCTATAATATACTACACTTAAAAATTTTGCCATAGTGCAAACCCCATAGCAACTGACTCAAGTGTCTATCACCACCTTTAAAAAGATCAGAACTAACAGAAATTCAAAATTATTTGTATGACATGAATGCAAAGTCACAGCAAAATAGATGTCTTGAGGTCATTAACCAGATTTAGACACATGCTTAAAATTACGAGAGCATACTTGATTAACTTCCATAGAAAGCTGTGCTACTTGACTTTGTAAAATTCTAACTTCTTCTTCAAGTTTTTTCTTCTGGCGACTCTCCTCTTCCAGCACTTCTTGAAGACCACCAAAGTCATTAGCATTTCCACCTGCCAACTATACAACATTATTTAGTCATGCATTATCCATCAAATATAAATCTCGCTATCATAATTCATACAGTCAATATCCGAAATTCCGAATTTTGAGTAATAACATACTTCCACCCTCGAAAATTGAAGTAGCTGACTTTTTAAGTCCTGGATTTCCTCTTCGGCTGCCATTCGTAGATGAATTTCCTTTTGAAGCAATGATTTCAGTTCAGCAACTTCTTCGCCAGTGTCCTTGCGAACCTGCTGAAGAAAAAGTTAGTAACCTTGACTGAAATTCGCGGTAGTAAAAAACAAGTAACTGGATGAAGTGACACCATCCTATAGAAGAATGCCTACCTC